CATTCTAAGCAACCATAGTCCACAGGACGAGCAGTGCTGGGATCATACAACATCAACCTCCATGACCCACCACATGGAGGTGGAATGAGTGAGTCACTAGGTAGTAGTCAGCTGTACAATGCACAATGTTTTTGGGATGAACAGATCAGTAACATACATAGACAGGCAATGCTCACCCCTGAACAGGATCCTAGACCTAAAAGAAACATGTCTCTTTAAGCAAAAGTAACATATAGGAAAAATGAAACTTACCAAATCACAGTCAGACTGATGATTGAAGGATGGCTACAGGTGGAAGTCAGTACCCCGACAAGATAGTGAAGAGATGAATGTATGAGGTGTTGTCCACATGCCTGACTAGGCTGTAAGCCACCAGATAATTACTAGAACTGTTGGCAGTGATGAGTATGATAGTGAGCCAAAGGGTGAACCAATGGATCCCTAAAGGAAGGAACAGACAAAGGATTGGAAGCAGGTATAGAGAATGATATGGGAGCAAGCTGAGACAAACGAGCAACCAAAGAAGAAAGTGTTGAGTGTTGCCTCACAGATCCCACACAAGACTCCAAAGATTCAGGAATATCTCCAAAAACAGACCTAGTGAGAAAGAGAGCAATCTTTAGATCAGAAATATATATGGAAGATAGACAAACCTGAGACATGACAGTATCACTAACAAGGAGATCCTGACAGCCAAGAAATCAGGAGTGAAGGGATAGGGCTGAGAAAGATAATAGTGCCAACATGGAGGTAACAAGGGAATAAATCCTCCAAAAACCACTCAGGGGATCAATTAAGAGCTTTAGAAAGGAGGTGCATGGATGAACGGTATAGATCTAATTTAAGGTGGGAAAATTGGGCTTGGAATACATGGATAGGATTATCAAGATCTGCCCCACACAGGCCAAAGTGACTCCAGCTGCTGGGAGTCGAGAAAGGGATAATCAGCCTGATGGTAAGTCAGTGCATAATGATCAGAAGCCAGTGGTGGATGAGGCTCAATTAAAAAATAAAATGCTCAGCATGTACCCTGATATCGGGAGAAGGAGGGAAGACAATGGGGCAGAGGTAACAAGAAAGGGGCAGGATCATACAAAACTGGGGATACAGATAAAACGTAATAAACCTGAGAAATCATTTCTAAAAAGGCTGAGGGAGGCCTGGCTGATTCCTCTGGAGTGGTACCAGCATGCACAACATGCTGGTAGGAGGTATATAAAAAAGGCTGTCAAAGTCCTCCTCATAATGAACAGGTTTTACGGGGACAGGAGGAGCCCAGACATTGTCAGGAGAAAAGGTCTGACTCATGTAATGATCAATCTCTCAATGAATGGTGGCCGAAAAATCCCCAGCCGAGACCCTCCCTCCTAGCAATAGCCTGTGTCACAACATTCGAAGTAGTAATAAC